AAAAAAAAAAACTTCTCTTTCAACATACATAAAAATTGCCCTTAAATTGATGATTAAGCAGAACAGCTGCACAATTCTCTGATTATGATTAAGTTGTAGTGTTAGTCCTAGCTACGATGGGTCAACAGTGACAGTCACATGAACTCTGGAGTCAGACTAGGTTTGAATCCAAGCTTTGACATTTACTTACTACCTTGCAGAAGGTATTTATCCCACACCACTCCTGATGCTCAGTTTCCTCTTAGGGTTAGTGGAATAATCATGTCATTATATAGGTGTCCCTAAACAACTCTACAAATAGGTTACACTTATAACCAAAATTTACTATGCTTGACCAGATCATGTAGCCTACTGTTTTCTTGCGGTGTACAGGGAATAATCTGACACCTAATCCCTTCTCAAATATACATGAGAACTACCCTTTACAAACCTAATCCTGGAAAAAGAAAACACTAAAAATTAACCTATATCAAATTTATCTGAATTAATTATACTTGCAAAGATAAGTAATTAAGTTCAGCGCTTTTGCATTTATTGTTAATTTCCTATATAGGATGACCGTGAGAACCAAACTGTCCTTAGATCAAGACCTTATATGACTGCAGAAATTAAACTGTCACAAGAATTACCTAGCTAGTGAGGTATCCTTTGTTTCAAGGACCACTGCACTGTCAACCAAAGCATTCAGATATCTGGAACCAATGCTAGAGAGATTGGCAGGGGAAAAGTTCACACTGTCCATGAGAAGGTCTTGAAGATGCTTGGCTAAAAAAGATAAAAGAATTCCATGGTGACTAAAACATTTTGTGTTTTGTTTTTTAATCTTTTAATAGCTTTGCCGAAATACCTCACATACCATAAAATCCACTCTACTAAGGTATACAACTTAATAGTTTTAGCACTATATTCAAAGTTGTATATCCCTGGGCAAAAACCATTTTAGAACATTTTCATCACCCCAAAAAGAAATCTATGTCCCTTTGTCATTCCAATCTCCCAACCCATAAAACACTAGTAACCACTTCCCCTTACCTATTCATTTCCCTATTCAGGACATTTCATAGAAACAGTATCAGTGAGACTGGCTTCTCTCATTTATCATCATGTTCAAGTTCATCCATGCCGTATCATGTACTGGTGCTTCATTCCTTTTTATGGCTGAATAATATTCCATTGTATGGTTGAGCATGGTGACATATGCTTGTAATCTTAGAACTTTGAGAGGCTGAGGTGGGAGGATTACTCGAGGCCAGGAATTTGAGACTAGCCTGAGTGAGACCCTATCTCTACAAAAACTACAAGAATTAGTTAGTGTGCGCCTATAATCCCAGCCAATTGGGAGGCTGAGGCAGGAGAATCACTTGAGTCCAGAAGTGTGAGGTTGCAGAAAGCTTTGATGAAGCCACTACACTCTAGCCCCAGGTTACAGAGTGAGACCCTGTCTAAAAAAAAAAAAAAAAAAAGGTGGCACCTGTGGCTCAGTGAGTAGGCACCGGCCCCATATACTGAGGGTGGTAGGTTTGAATCTTGCCCCAGCCAAACTGCAACAAAAAAATAGCTGGGCGTTGTAGCAGGCGCCTATAGTCCCAGCTACTCGGAAGGCTGAGGCAAGAGAATCACCTAAGTCCAAGAGCTGGAAGTTGCTGTGAGCTGTGATGCCGTGATGCCACAGCACTCTACCAAGGGTGACAAAGTGAGACTGTCTCTAAAAAAAAAACATAAAACTATTGACTGTATGAATATGCCACATGTTTTTTTTTTTTAATCCATCTACCTGCTAATAAACTGATGGACATTTGGGTTGTTTTGATATTTTGGCTATTGTGAATATGCCTCTATAAACATTCATGTTAGATTTTGATATGGATGTATGTTTTCATTTCTCTTGGTTATATACCTTGGAGTGGAATTATTGGTTGAATGATAATTGTATGTTTAACCACTTTAGGAATCACCACACTGTTTTCCAAAATGACTGATTTTATATTCCTTTCAGAAGTGAACATGGCTGGGTGCCTATAGCTCAAGTGGCTAAAGCGCCAGCCACATACACCAGAGCTTGCAGGTTTGAGTCCAGCCTGGGCCTGCCAAACAACAATGACAACTACAACCAATAAATAGCCAGGCATTGTGGTGGGTGCCTGTAGTCCCACCTACTTGGGAGGCTGAGGCAAGAGAATTACTTAAGCCCAGGAGTTGGAGGTTACTATAAGCTGTGACACCATGGCACTCTACCAAGGTGACAGCTTTAGGCTCTGCCTCAAAAAAAAAAAAGTGAACAGAACTCCAATTTCTCCAAATCTTTTCAACAGTTATTACCTATCTTTTAATTATAGCCACCCTAGTTAAGTATGAAGTGGCACTGTGGTTGTGACTTACATTTCTCTGATGGCTAATGATGCTACGCTTTTTTGGCCATTTGTGTACCTTCTTGGGAGAAATGTCTACTCATATCTATTGTCCACTTTTAAAAAAATAGAGACAAGGTCTTGTTCTTGCTCAGGTTGGTCTCAAACCTGTAAGCTCAGGCAATCCACCTGCCTCAGCCTCCCAAGTGCTAGGATTACAGGCATGAGCCACCTCACCTGGCCTGTCCACTTTTTTTTTTTTTTTTTGGAGACAGTGCCTCAACCTGTCCCCCTGGGCAGAGTGCCGTGGCATTACAGCTCACAGCCACCTCCAACTCCTGGGCTCAAGCGAGTCTCCTGCCTCCGCCTCCCAAGTAGCTGGGACCACAGGCGCCCGCCACAATGCCCGGCTGTTTTTTGGTTGTAGCCATCATTGTTGTTTGGCGGGCCCGGGCTGGGGATTCGAACCCGCCACCTTAGGTGTACGTGGCTGGCGCCTTAGCCGGTTGAGCTATAGGCACCGAGCCCTGTCCACTTTTTTTTGTTGAGATGGAGTCTCACTGTGTTGCCTTCGGTTGAGAGCCAATGTCATAGCTCACAGCAACCTCAAACTCTTGGGTTTCAGCAATTCTCTTGCCTCAGCCTCCCAAGAAGCTGGGAATACAGGTGACAGCCCTAACTCCCAGCTATTTTGTCGTTGTTGTTGCCATTGTTCTCATCTCTCACCTCTTCCCAAAGGAACTGACTTCACTTGCAACAGAGAGACTGGAGAAGTTCAAGCCTAAGGGTATTCTCAAAAACAGTAGAAGTTGTGGCAAAAGGAATTGAGAGCAGAGTCAAAGTATAGGCTGAACTGTAGGTTAGCTAGTTTGTAGCTAACCAGGGAGTAAGACATCTAGGAAGAGCTGGAGTAATCAAATATCTAACTGACCTTAGAAAGTATTCCTTTAAAAGGGACTAGAGATAGTCCCAGGGGGACAGCTTGAGGCTCTGTTTCAAAAAAAAAGAAAAGTACAAAACAAAAATCACGTTATCACCTGAATAGACACAAAAAAAGCAACTGACAATATCCAACATCCCTTCATGATAAATACACTCAACAAACCAGGAATACAAGTCAATTTTCTCAATTTGATAAACATTGTCTATAAAAACCCCACATACTTAATGATGAAGACTGGATGCACTCCCTCTGAGACCAGAAACAAGACAATGAATATATATATATATATTTTTTGTAGAGACAGTCTTACTTTATCGCCCTTGGTAGAGTGCCATGGCATCATATAGCTCACAGCAACCTCCAACTCCTGAGCTTAAGTGATTCTCTTGCCTCAGCCTCCGGAGTAGCTGGGACTACAGGCGCACGCCACAATGCCCAGCTAGACAATGAATAGTTTTAACAGTTTCATGTGCACTCCTCATGATACAAAAATACTCATGTAGGCTCGGCGCCTATAGCTCAACCGGCTAAGGCGCCAGCCACGTACACCTAAGGTGGCGGGTTCGAATCCCC